AGACAGACAGACAGAGAGAGACAGAGACAGAGAGAGAGCTAAATACATGTAATAGAAATTTTTAAAGATACATGGCAGAGAAGTGGGGCGGGGCTAGATGCCTAGAGGCCTGCTCAGAGAAGACTCCAGCTTTACTCAGCTCACCAAGGTGACCTAATGTCGGCTTCTCCACCTCAGGGCCAGTGTCCACTTGGTTCTCTGGACTTCCCCAGGAACAAGTTCACTAAGTGAATTGGCTTCATCTCCTCAGCTTGGTTCCAGGTCTCTGACCATTCTTTTCATGGTATTCAGCAAGAACACTGGACTTAAAGTCAGAATGCTTTTGCTCCATGCAAATATGGTTTTTAACCTCATAGAATTATTATATAGATAAAGGGAAAAGCTATAAAGGAGGTTAAAATTGTGGGCACCCTGCAATTTGAGGTTGGATCTGGTGAGGCACACCCATAATCCCAATTGGAAGGCTGGGACAGGAAGGTTGCGTGTGAGTTCAAGGCCAGCCTAGGCTACAGAGCAAGAAAGACCCCGCCTGAACGCTCACACAGCTCTCTGCAATGCATGCATATTCAGCTACGCAACTGGTCATATGTGCAACATGAGATTCAAAGCATTGTGATACGTGCCTGCAACAATAGCCTTATAGACTCTGTGGGATCAGTGTTTCTCATTCCAGAGTGGGTAAAATACTAGAGACAGAATCAGATCAGTGATTGCCTCTGGGAAGCAGGTGCAGGTGGGGAGAAGATTAAGACAAGCAAATACTTTTGGGGTGGAAATAGTCTATATTTGATTGGTGGTTAAGTACGATTTTCAAGACTCAGACCTGTGCACCTCAAAAAAGTGAATATTCAACCATACATGGTGGTTTATGCTTGTAATCTCAGCACTTGAGAGGGAGAGGCAGGAGCATTGCCAGAGTTCTAGGCCAGCTTGAGCTATGTGGGAGTTCCAGGCCAGCCTCAGATACAGCAGCAGACCTTGTCTCAAAAAGACCCTCGCCTCAAAAGAGTGGATATTTCTGTGCTTAGTTTACATGTTGACCATTTAACCTGAGTTTCCAAAAACTGGGGAAGAGAATACCCCATAATACTAAGTGTGGCATATACCACTGGCCCTCCTCATCCGAGCGTCGCACATCTGCTGATTCAACCTCTTACCCTGTGTTGAAAGAGGTAGCTGGGTGGGGAGGCTTGGGGTTGCTTCTGCAGACTTTCTTCCTTGTCATTAGTCAATGCAACACTACTATATTTACACAGCGGTAAAACTGCATTAGGTACCGTAAATAACCTAAAGATGATTAAAGCCTACAGAATATATGCATGCTATAGTACATTCCTTATAAGGCTGGGAGCATCCTCCAGACATTGGGGTCTGTAAGTGTACTGGGAGCAGCCCCCCAGAATGCAGAGGGCCACGGTTTGCCCCTTTAGTATAGGATCATCAACAGATAAATGCTATTTGGAGTCTGTGCCATGTTCGTATAGCAGGGAGAGTGATATTTCAGTAAACACAGCATCTTTATCTGGGTGCATTCTAAACTTCTTTTTTATGGCAGGAGTACTGAGCACTTCTAAAAAGTTCAGTGGTTGTTCTGCGTTAAAGGAATAAGGCTCTACACTAGGAGGGAGATGACGCAGGCCCAGGGTATTAACCCAGAAGCTCAGGAATAGGCCGGACACGGGGAGTCCTGCTTTGGTTTCTAATCCCGGAGCCTGGATCCAACCCCGCGGGAGGTCATTGTGTCAATAACAGGTGTGATGCTAGTTTGAAGGGAAGTTCTAAACGGATTGTTTAATCTTACTCAGACTTTTGTGGCTGAGGATGAGTCAACACACTTAATTAAAACTCCAGGAGAATAGCTGTGAATGAGCTCCGGCCAGCGGCTAGAGGTCAGTGTTGGCTGCTCCCGCCCGCACCAGCGCAGCACCCGCCCACATCCACACTGCTCCATCCTCATTAGCCGCCGCCCCGTGCGCCCGGCGCCCATTGGCTGCTCAGACCAAGCGCTTCTCTCATAAGAGGCTGCCGGTCTGGTCCGCTGGTGATCTCTGAACTCTGGTGCTTCTTAGGTGAGTAGTTTAGTGGGTGAGTGGGGTGGCCCCTTCCTGGGACTGGAGTCTCCCGGCAGGGACAGGACCAACGTCCAGTAGGAGCCAGGTGGAAGTCCTGTGTGGGCTCTCCTCTTCCTTCCTTACAGCTTCTTTGGGGACAGCAGACCCTATTCTTGAGGACCTCCTATGTGCCAGGAGCAGATTTTTCTTTCCACGTCGGATTTAGGTTTTATAGGGAACCCTGTGAGGTGGATAATCTAATATTTTATAGATAAGGATGGATCTGGGGGTTCCGAGAAGGAACCCAAGACTGTGTGACTCCTTGCCAGCAGGAACAAACACATTAATCTTTCTTTTCCATTAAAGGGTAACATCTTTTTTCTTGGGGGGAACCTTCTCTTGCGCTCCACTAATGCAAAGTGAGTCTCGGATGCTAGGCTTCTCAGCACAACATCTGCACTCAGTACTCCATCCCAGGTCACAACTGACAGAGGCATGGGTCCTTGAGATGCAGAGCTAGTTTATTGTCTGGGTAAACTTAACCATGATTAAATGTAACTATATTTTCAGAGGTTTAAAGTGAACCCCTTTGATGTTGCAGCCTAGCCATCTTGGAGTGGTACTGGAGGAGACAAGCTCCAGATGTGCCTGTGGGATGTCAAGGGTGGGATTCTAACTAAGTGTTACAGGATCACATCCTCAGTGACTGGCGTTCACCTGCCCATGGGTTGTAGCTACTGCCCTAGATCGTTCTGATCTTCCGGGATGGAGGCAGCCTCTGCCTTGCCTTTCTGGAGGGTTCCTTTACCTCCTGGGTGCTTGCTAGAGCCTTTTTGTCTGTATTTCGTCTCCACTTCTTTCCCACTTCCCATCTGGAAAAGAATGTCCAGATCCCTAGGGATTCTCCTCCTTGTACCTTCAAACTGCCCACACTTTGGAAAGCCTCAGCTGTGCTTCCAAGATGAAAGAATTGGAAGTTTCACTTACTGGTGATGAAGCTAAGGAAACAAAGGGTCCGTGTGCTCACTCTCCCTTCACTGTGCTCTGCCAAGGCTACTGGTCAGCTGACCTCCTGCTTGGCAGGTCTTATTTCCAGTGCGGGGTCCTGCACACTGGGACATCTTCATTCGGACAAGCAGGATTCCTCCCCGCCTTTGAAAGTGACTCCTTTCCTTTCAGGGTGATCTCCTGCCCTTGAGGGTAAACCTCTTCCTTTGAGGGTGGCCCTCCCTTTTATTTTACCTGGCTGCAAAGGAGCTAAAAAGGGGAATAGAAGACTAAAGCGGGGGAGGGGAGGGGCTGGCAGAAGAAGGTGTAGTGAGGACAGGGGAGGGGAGAGCAGGGGAG